AGTTTTTTTTTTTTTTTTTTTTTTTTTTTTTTTTTTATTGTACCTTACTTAAATGTATCTAAGAAGTAAAAATTTTGTGAAAAATATTTTTAAAATTAATAAATACATAAAAATATGAAAAATATACTGAATTCTTACTTTTTTTTTTTTATATTTTTGGTATTTTGTGAATTTTAAAAAAAAAATTCACAAAAATTATACTTTTATGTTGTATTTATGTTAGGTGTGCCTAAAAATTAAAAAATTATTTAAAATATTAAAAAAATTCAGTAAAAAATAAAAAACATAAAAAATAAAAAAATAATTTTTTTTGAAAAATATTTTTAAAAACCAAAAAACATGCCAAGTGTGGTTTCTAATGATACATTTGTCAATCCCTTTCGATTTTTTCTTTAAACGGCACTAACCTAATCAATTGGGCAAGTCAGGCAACTCAAGGATTCAATCCAAGCCCAATTCTATTCCCAACTTAGGTGGGTTATCTCAGTTAACTTAAAATTTTAAAAATATTCACTGAAAACAAAAAAATACAAAATTTTAATTTTTAAAAAATTTAATCCAAAAAACTCAAACTAAACACACATATTAATTTTTTTTTATCAAAAACCTTTTGATTGACTAGGAAGTTCGAGTGAATTGGCGGATTAAAAACAAATAAACAGAGGAAAGAGCTTGGGTTGACAGATTTAAACAACAAATTTGTCGGACTGGTAGATCAGATGAAGATGTCCAAAAAAAAAAGGAGTTTTTTTTTAGGGTCCCTGGTATTAAGGCTTTATAGTATAAAGGACATCTAATATTTTCATAATGTCTAAGGTCCCTCAATTTGATCCAGAGAAATTTCAACCCAGGGAAATTTCAAATTTCCATCCAGAGAAATTTCAAATTTCTCTGGTTTGTTCAATTTTTTTGATTTTCTATGTTTTGAAATTTCTCTAAGGTTGAATTTTCTCTAATTTTCTCACAAATAACTCTGTGATTTGCTGCTTTGCTTGCCTTCACTCTTGGTGTCAAGCAAATTATGGGAATTTCTCTGGCCTTTTCCAGAACCAACTAAGAGAAAATTCAGTTAAAAAATCAGAGAATTTCTCTGGTTTCAATCCAAAGAAAATTTAGTTCAAAAACCAGAGAATTTCTTTGGTTTCAACCCAGAGAAAATTCAGTTCAGGTGATCGTGATTTACCATTTCTTTCTGATAATGGATTATCTGAATCAGCTTTGCGGTAGAAAATTATAAGATCCTGAACTAAATAAACAGATTCATTGTAATATCATACATGTTCAGAAAATCAAAATTCAAGAGAGAGAGAGATGGAACAACACAATGGCATTCTCAATGGTTATGTTATCACCGTCTCCTCCCCGACTCTACTTGGGAAAGACGAAACCAATTTTACATCCCAAAATTGGCATTCGGTGTTCTCTCTCTTCTTCTTCGACACAAATCTCAACCAAATTCGATCTTCGAACCTACTGGAAAACCCTAATTGCAGAAATCAATCAGAAGCTGAACAAAGCCGTATTTGTGCAGTACCCACAGCAGATCTACGAAGCAATGCGTTACTCTGTTCTCGCTCATGCTGCCAAACGTGCTCCTCCGGTGATGCTCCAACGGCAACTCGTACATCAGCTCTTGGTCCTCCGATCGCAAACACGGCTTTGGCAAGAAACGCTACGCTAATGGCGATGTCTATGTTAGTTCATGGAGGTCGAATTTGTAGGACGGCAATGGTAGGTATGTTTGGAGGAATGGGAATGAGTACATTGGGGAGTGGAGGAATGGGGTTATTTCGGGTAAGGGGGCTGAATTTCTTTGAGATAGATGGAGGGACCTTAGGCATCAAAAAATAATATTGTGGATGTCTTCCATTACTAAAAATGGGAGAGGGACTTTAGACTAATTTTTCCAAAAAAAAAAACAACAGCAGAGGAAAGAGCTTGGATTGAAAGATGGAGAGAGAGGGCGCGAGAAAGTGAGGACTGCTTGGAAGGGAGAGAAAAATACAAGGATGGTTCTGGATGGTAAGTAAATTACATTAAGGCCTTGTTTGTCATAACTTTAAAAAGTTAAAAAGTCACTATCTTATTTAAGTCACATCACCTCTCTTTCATATCACTTCAAACCCAATCCATACTCAAACCATATTTCATGAAAATTCAAAAAATGTACTTATTTAGTTCATCCCAAACAATATTACTAGTATATGTCTGTGTCTAAAGGTACGGTATAAATTAAATTAAATAATGTTAGGCACGGTGTAAACACAAATTTCGTATCATGCAATTAAAATACAAAATAAATGTATAAATAATTAATTTTATCGATTATAATAAATGGGTACAATTTTCTGTGGTTTGCTCTATTACAAAAAAACAAATCCTCTTATTCGATCTCCGAAATTGGCGTGATTCAGCGGCTGTAAAAACTTGTTGTTGAAGTAGACAAGTTGATGGATTTCTTCAAGTCTTTGAATGGAGAAACTTGGAGAAAAAAAAGTTTGATCTCAGGCTTGAACGGCTTGATCTCGAATGAATCTTGAAATGATCTCTTTGAAAATAGAGACCAAATTTGTATTTGTAACTTGAAAAGATTGGCACAAGTTTGGAGTGCTTGATAATCCTTTCTCCTAAGTTTGAGGAATTTTAGAGAGAATTTTAAGAAGAAAATTTGATAGAGTCTCGAGATTGCTTAGGAGCTTGCAAGACTATTAGCCAAAAAATGTTCCCCATCCTCTTGGTGAAAACCTTTATTTATAAGTTTAGGAGGGAAGAGTTAATTTTGGAAGCTCCAAAATTGACTCTACTTTTCAAGAAAAATATCAAGTTATTTATTACTTTATGGAAATGATTTGTATTGAACTTTGAATTATTCCATTAATTTTTTGACCCCATACTTTTGGATTGACCCAATTGTCAAAATAGATCCATTTTTGTTTTAGTGTGGCTCATAATTTAAAATGGATTAAAATTCATAATTTTAGTAGGATCCATATCCATTTGAAAATTTTAACCATCTTAATTTTTACTAATTAATCAAGAAAATTTATTTGTCTTGATTAATCAGACAATGATAAAGACACTTAAAAATTTAAGTGTCTAAAAATTGCCCCTACTTCAAAACTCTAGTTTGATGCTTGCTTGTTAATATTAAAAGTGAGATTTAAAATAGATTGGTCATGTTTATGTAAGGATTTAATTACAATGTATGCCGTGCAAATTTTATTGTATTTTAATTTTTTTGTGCATAGCGTGGTTGGCCTTCTACCTCATAGGATGGTAATGTTTAGGAAGCATAACTAGGTTTTTAATGTTTCTTTCTGCCGCCCAATATGCACTATTTCTCTTTATAAATGATTGATGAAGGGTTGCTTTCCGCTGCCTAACTCTGCATATCCTTTTCCTGACCATTGCTAGCAACTGCCTTGTGCTTAACAATCAAGGTAAGGCTTTTACACACACACATATGTCATGTTGCCTTGTGACTGTGCACTAGTGCCTTGGCTTTTTTTTTTTTCCTTTGTCACGGTGCTTTGTATTTTGTGCAGACTTATATATATATATATATATTTTTAAGTGTGCATGATATCATCTTGGTATGATACCACCATAAATTTCATGAATATTTTTTTTTTTACTTGTATGATTGCATCATCAATCTGTGTGCACTGCACGACTTTTTTATTTTTACTTTTTTGCAAATTACATTTGATTATGACCCACAAAAATAATGATTTTATAAGAATAGTAGAGTAATATATCTCACTATTCTTTTACCATAATTGATTATTTTGGCTTATGTGGGGATGCGTTTATCGAGCTAGTTGTTTGGATATCGAGCTAGTGAAGTAAACACTTCCACCACCATTCATTTGACCATAGGTGATTAGTTTGACGCATGTGAGGGAATGCGTCTATCGAACTAGCTACTTAGATATTGGGCTAATGAAGTAGACACTTACACCACCAACTATTTGACCATAGGTGATTAGTTTGATTTATGTAGGGGAATGCATCTATCGAATTAGCCGCTTGGATATTGGGCTAATAAAGTAGATACTTCCACCACTACCCATTTGACAAAGGTGATTAGTTTGACTTATGTGGAGGAATACGCCTATCAAGCTAGCCGCCTGTACATTGGGCTAGTAAAGTAGACATTTTCACCACCACCCATTCGATCATAAGTGATTAGTTTGACTTATGTGGAGGAATATGCCTATTGAGCTAGTCGCTTCGATATTGGGCTAGTGAAGTAGACACTTCCATTACCACCCATTTGACCATAGGTGATTAGTCTTGACTCATGTGGAGGAATGCGCCTATTGAGCTAGCCGCTTGGATATTTGGCTAGTGAAGTAGACACTTTCACCATCACCCATTTGACCATAGATGATTAGTCTTGACTCATATGGAGGAATGCGCCTATAGAGCTAGCCACTTGGATATTGGGCTAGTGAAGTAGACACTTCCATCACCACCCATTCGACCATAGGTGATTAGGTTGACTTTG